GACGAAAATCAGTGAATCATTTCTGAAACTCAGATCTCAACACCATTTCTTGGCGGGAATTTTCGTTTTGTTCTACCATCCGGGAATAACAGAAGAGAGAAGAAAAGAGAGAGAGAGAGAGAGAGAGATAGAGAGAGAGAAAGAGATGCCACTCGCTTCCGAGGAGGGGGGGGGAGAACATCACGGCGTGCTTGATCTCGGGAACTCTCATGTCTTGTCTCTTCTGGTTTTCAACTTTCTGAATCGGAAAATGGGAATTGATGGGTCCGTGACACCGGTTGGGGGCGGGTGGATGAGGCGCGCGCTATCGGTTGAGGGAGACTGAGCGCTCCTCAGCAAAGAGAAGGTGTTTCTCGGGCATCCATCCCTCGACAGCAGTCGGCGGCGATGGGGAAGGGTATTTCTTCTTCTCGGTGTACGATAGTGAAGGATCAAAAAGCATATAATGCAAACGCCTTGAGGGAGACCAGTGACAAGTCCAAGGAAGATAGAGTGTGAGCGAGTGGGTGAGAACGCTCAGTAGTTGTAAGGTTGATACCGTGGGTTCCTCTATACATCCTTAGATTGGAATTCGCGATTAAGCATGGGACTAATTCAGTAAGGAAAGGCGCCTGACACGAGGTGCTCTGCCTGAGGCAGTCCTTCTCAACCCACTACTTCCAACTTCTCCTTCCTCCTTGTACGAAGTTCATGCAACTGCCCTGATTCATCGGCGCCCACTTCCCCGATCTCTTCGAAGTAGTCAGCGTGTGCCCCATCCGCTCATCTCAAGCCATTCACGATAGACTGGATGTTATATCCGGGTGGATAGATCTCGAAACACACGGAGTACCCATACTTAGTAGAAGATCTCACCCGACTGAATCCAGTTTCCCCTCAAAGATGCTCAGATCGTACCCGGCAATGATAAGCGACGTATGCAGAGCGGCACGCAGGTGGTGTGGCCCTTGCATGGGGCCTTCTCCTCCAATCCCAGCAGTCGAAGGCAACACTCTATCGGAACTATCGTGACCTTCCGCGGGATCTTGGATCTTAGAGGGGATGGATCCTCACCTGTCATGCTTGGCATACCGATACTGGTCAACTTGTCTCCTCCGATCCCGTCTCTTGTCCCACTCTGGCCTCGGTGAACACCGGACCGGACTGACTGCCGTGGCGGTAATCCCGCTAAAGCGCAGATGGCCCGGCACTGAGAGTGGTTTTGGTTTTTTTTCTCTAGGGATCTTTCTCCTCGGGCGATTGGTAAAATGAGCGTGGCGGAAGGATCGTGATCACAGAGAAGGGAGTGGATCGCCGGAGGACGAAAGAAGCTTGGAGGAAACCCATTTATTCCAGTGCGTATATACAAAGAAAGGAAATGAAAATTGAGATAATTCTCATCATATGAACCGAAGAACGCCAGCCCGACGGAGAGCCTCGTAATCTAGCTAATGTGCCAGAATGGGCAACGAGCGCTTGACCCTACTCCACATCGACTCATCAGGAACTGGATGATCGATACGATGCCACTCGTCATTGAATGCATTGATGAGCCAGCTCGAAAGACCTAATTGACGAAATTAGTATCTCCTCCCTGATGTACGCAAAGGCAAGGAAGGAGGCCAACTTACGCTCGTAAACCATGGTGTGCGCATTGTGGAAGGCAATGTTGTGATCGGAATCCGGGTACACATGCAGATCGTAGTTCTCAACACTAGCCAGGTCCAGCTTATCAACCAAGACAAGAGTATTCTGAAGATGGACGTTGTCGTCTGAGGAGCCGTGCATGACCAGGAATCGCACGGTTTCCTGAAGCGCAGACATGTCGGAGATAGAGGCATTGTCGAATCCCGTGGGATTGTGTTCGGGGGTGTGCATGTAGCGTTCAGTGTAGATAGAATCTGTTTGATACATTGTCAATGTGAGGGTCAACCTTGTTTTTTTTGGGAGGGGCTTGGACGCGTACCGTAGAATCTCCAATCAGTCACAGGTGCAACAGCCATTCCGTATTGGAATGTTTGTCCTGCGTCTTGCTCGAGTGTCTTCAAGGTCATGAATCCGCCATAGCTCCAGCCCCAGATCGCCATTCGGGTCGCATCAACATAAGTCTTTTGTGCCCACATCTTGGCCGTGGCAATCTGGTCGTGAGCTTCATAGTAGCCTAAGTTGCCGCGGACGATGCATCGTGCTTTGCGGCCGATGTAGCCCGTGCCTCGGCCGTCAACAGTGACGACTATGTAGCCCAGACTGGAGGCGATATATGCCTGGAAATCGACGGTAAATTTACGATCGACTGTTTGTGAGCCGGGCCCGCCGTAGAGATAGAACAGCACGGGGTATTTCTTGGCCGGGTTAAAGTGAGGGGGGCGACGTTCGACGACCTGGAGCGTGAAGCCGTCAATGGTGACATTTTGGTAGATCTCCGTCGGGATGGCGTATGTCTCGACCATACGAGAGAGGCCGGCGTTGTCCTCGATGGTCTCTTCGAGGATGATCTCGTCTGTCTCGGTGTTGACAATTGACTGCCATGGGATGGAGGGGCCCTTGTAACTGAGAAGTGCATATCCAGTACCTTGGGAGAAAGAAACGTCGTAGTAGCCTGGTTTGGAGGTATCTGTAAGAGCCTTGAGGTTGGACCCATCGAAATTCACTTGGTACAGGTGGCGCTGGGTGGGAGCTTCTTTTGTTGCAATGAAGTAGACGACGCCTCGGTGGGGATCAACGGCGGCAGGAGCTTCGACCACCTCCCATTCACCTGTGGTGAGCATGACTGGCTCAGAGTTATCCAGGGGCGCAAAGTATGCAAGATGGTCGTAACCATTGTGAATCACAGTGTCGAGATATCCGTCGTGTGGCCGGCCATTGCTTGGATCCGCGGGAATGAACCTGGTATACTGGGATGGCTCCACCCAGCCGCCGTCGATGCTTGCGACGTCTTCAGTTCGAACAAGCTTACCACTGCGGGATTTTGTGTCAACTAGGAAGACTTTGAGGACGTCACTCTCTCTGTTTGTGGTGCGCACAATGACCTTGTCTGCACCAGCCCAGACCACCTCGATGATAATGCGATCCTCATCACTAAAGTCGCCGGGGATGTCAACTGTGAATACTTGTTGTTTCTCAACGTCGTAGAATTGCAAATTCACGACAGGGTTGGGCGCGCCGGGCTTGGGATACTTGATCTCTCTCACTTCCGGATAATTTTCGAGTCCCGGGAGCGGCTCTTTTCCAGAGGGTCTCGAGAGGTGATACTGGACTGGGAACTCAGGCACGGAGGATTCGTTGGTGCGAAGGAAAGCGAGGTACTCGCCGCCGCTAGACCACCAGGTTACACTGTTGCCGGAGATGACTTCCTCTTCGTAAACCCAATCAGGTACACCGTAGAAAAGGTCCGCGCCGCCGTCCTTAGTGATCTGGACCACGCTATCCGACGACAACTTCCGCAGATATAGGTTGTTCCCTCTGGCGAAGACGACAGCATCAGAAGCGGGCGACCAGACCGCGAGCTGAACCCGTCCATCGGGTTCGCTGGGATCCAGCGCTTGCGCCGTTTGGGTGTCGACGTCGAAAATCCAGTAGTTGCCCGTGTACGAATGTCTCCAATTCTTCTCACGGTCCGACAAGAGCAAGACCTTCATGAGATCGGGGCTGGGCCACGTCATGGCCGGGAAAATATCACGCCCATCCACATGCACAGAGGGCTTTTCCATCAGCACCCGACTCTCCTGGCTCTGGACATCCTTCTTGCGGCTGCGGATATCTTCCACGCGCAGGTAGGCCTTGCCCTCGCCTTCCCCTCGCTCCACCAGTAAGCCGTCTTCTCCGTCGGGCCCTGCGATCCATGAGATGGCGTGCGAAATGGGTTGCCATTGACCCCTGAGCACCTGCTCCAGCGTGACAGGCTTTCCGGAACTCGTGCTGTCCGAAAAGGGGCTGGAATCATGCGACTGCAGCGCTTCGGAGACAGCGAGGTCGCCGGACTGCTTCTGCGCCACGAACAGCGCCAACCCCCAGAGCCAACCTGCAACACACAGTATGACCAATGCCCAGATTATACGCGAGGTCCGGCGTCCGGTCGATGCGGCCGGTTTCTTTTGCGACGAGGGTAGGAATGGCTCATCGGGCTGCGGTTCGCCTTCCTCCACGTCTCGATATCTCGCATCCTCGGCTGAGCTGGACTTTAAGGGGTCGTTCATGTGGGTGGTTGTGAATTTGGATTCGTCGGGGAACGGGGTGTCGACGGAGAGGTCCGAATCAGAGGATGACTGAGAGGCGGTCCTGGAGCGGCTCATGGGCAGGAACTGCGTGTTACCATCATCGGCGTATGTCCCCATGATGGGAGAGTGCGGGATTCAGGTGTGAATCACTAGGCGTGGGAAAGACACATGCGTCGGTGCGAGGCACGTAGGACAGGACAGATGGCTGGGGTAGCTAGGAGGCTGATAAGATCGGAGGATCGCTATCAGCGAAGGTGCATCGGCATTCGTTGCGATCGGGGAATGGACAACAGATCTCGGCTGGCCTTAAGTCTCTGGGCCAGTGGAAGGTTTGAAGAAGTCAGGAAAGACAGAACCTATGACATTGAGAAAAAGAAGTTCGGAGAGTGTGTGTGTGAGTGTGAGGGAGATTCGAAACAGGGGGTATCGGAAGCCGATCGTTCCAGCGGATAGCCTTTGACGGCCCGAGGCATCAATTGCGCTATTCACTATTCACACGATCGGCCGCTAGTTATTGATAGCCTATTCGAGACAATCATCAACCACTGTGTAGCAGTTTGACAATAGGCTCAATATGGTGGCGCGTGCTCCTCTTCTATTATACATGATGTTGAACTTATACATACGAAGTTAACCAGTTACCCTGAGGATTGTTATATGTTATTTCTAGAAGCAGTACCCGTTCAATATATAGAATTTGACTCTATTCGACCAGATTTTCCGAATATAAAGTAGCTTTCCTTATACTACTGCTCCACTACAGCTTTGTCACTGAGTAATTGTCACTAAGTAGAGTATGTTTCGACCGGTAACCTGTGCATCATTAAGACTTGGTTCTATTATGTCCTGTGAATAACCTTCCATCCTACCCCGGTGCTTTGCACTAGTACTATCTATAGCTACCTCAATAGGGATGCATTATATACAACTTGTAGTCTGGATGCCCATTGTATCTAAATGCACCTAATAACCATGAAAAGGGTATCGCTATCACCACATGAACTCTCCAACAACCTGCAGTAAAACACCCACACCTTCCTCCCTTCCAACAAGGACATAAACCCTCAACATCACTGCAACCGATGCAAAATCCCCACCCTCCACTCCCGAAACAGACTGGCCGACACGGGCAGCATCGCATTCCTCCGGTGCAGCACTTCCTCGAAAGCCCGATACGTCTCCTCCGGCAACCGCACTTCCTCCAACGCCAGCGTGGTCGACGGCTTCCCGACCTCCGGGTGCAGCGTCTGCTCCACATTGTGGAGAGACTGGAAGAACACCTTCATCGCTCGTTGGGCGGCGATGCTGTGGTGGGCGCTCGAGTTGGAATACCGCATGTCGGGGTTGAAGACCCAGATCTGGTTTTTTGTCGGAGGAGTTTAGCATATGGTCGAGCAAGCAAGCATGACTTCCTGTGGGAGACTGGGAGAAACGTACCAACAATCCACTGCTATGTCCGCAGTGCACGACGAAGCGACGCGCGCTTTCTCGCTCGACTAGCTCCAGGAGTTGGGCGGCGATGATGACCTCGATGGGGTGGGATTCCCACTCCATTTGCTCGGTATCAGCATCAGTATTCGTCTTTGTTGCGGAGAGAGCGGTCTTGAAGAGTCTCCAGCCTTGGGCTGTAAGGTCGACTTGGCCGAGTAATGTATTACAATTGCAGCAGCGGATTTCATCGGAGTCCGGGTCCTAAAGAGGTTTTTATTCGAGCTATTAGCAAGGGATAATGATAAGATGGCGAGTAGAGGGGAAAGGAAGAGGCATAGCAAGGTAGTGCTTCACAATACGCCAGCATCAAGTCAAGTTACATGTTCTATGAGTCTAAGCTAGTTCCATGTATTATACCACACCAAACAATGTACCTCGCCATGATCACGTCGACTCCCATTGGACTCGGGATCAAAAAAGACAACGAAGGAACTTTATGCGAGGGCGCCAGCCTTGATCCCAGAACGAAGCCCTCAGAGGAAGCTACCAACGACTAAGCAAAGCCGATGCCACAATGATGCTGCGCAATCCATCTCCTATCTCGAGGGAGAGAAGAGGATAACTACACCATCATATAGGAAAATCAGCCCACGCATAGCCATCAGTAGTCTCCCCTTCCTGCTTCTCTTGCACCATGAATATAATAATGAATCAAGGCCCATGATTAATGTCGGGCAATTGTATCGGAGACCATACCACGGAGGAAAACAGGCCAGAAAAGGTCTCCTTCTTGTTGCCCTCATGCACTGAGATACCAAGCCTTGCAAAAGCTTTTCATCTCGGGGATAGCAAAAAAACCACAGAAGAAGGGAACAGAGGTCCTTACCTTCATCACCCCCAAACAATCCTCCACCGCCACCAGAAAAGTCGCGACATCCACCAGGATCGTGCCCACGGTAGCCACGACCTGATTCGCAGCTCCATACCCTTTGACCGTCGCATTCGGATCTTCCGATCGACCTCCCCCATCAGCTTTCGCACCCTGCTGCTGCTGTTGCTGCTCCCCGGCATCAAGCCCGCCCTCACCATCACCCTCGCCCTTACCCTCACCATCACCATGATTATGACCACCCTCAGGATCCGGCTTATGACAATGCCAAAAATCCATCATCTCCGCCCAATTCCCACTCGGCAGGTCCTTCCACACCCACCCCCCGGCCGATCGCGCAGGTTGATCCAGAACCACCCCTTCACACCCGCGACATCTTACCCGCGTCCCCGGCCGCATATCCGGCGCCCTCCACGGCACAAACCCGCCCACCAGCTCCTCATCCCCTCCCCTCCCCGCCAACAATCCAGTCCCATTTGTCTGATTACCGGTATCATCATCAGCGGCAGCAACCTGCATCCGAAACGACGACTCCCGCCTCCTCCCCTCAGAAGAAGTACGCTGCCACTGCGGGGCGCGAAGCACATATCTTGCGGCCTCCGTGACGCGCGCGGGGAGCTTCATCGTTTCCGTTTCGGGTTCAGCTTCCATCGCTGTTCTTGTTTCCGTAGAAGCATCATCGTCACGGTTGTCCGGCAGTTGTGGCGAGGCCACCGACACGGACACCGCGCGGCGGGACTCGGAGAGTGTGATTTGCACATCTCCCTTTGTTTCCACTGATCTAGGACAGGTGTCTTGCGATTGGGCATGGGCGTCGCTGTCCTCAGCAGGAACAGAGACATAGAGGGTGATGTGACGGATATGCGGGAGGAGTTCGGCGTGGAGGTAGATCAGAGGGCTCGTCTGATCCTCGTCCTCGGCTGTCTTTGGTGTTGGTTGCATCTTTTTCTGTTTGTCCGGAAGAGGAGGGGTGTGTGGTTCCCCGGTTATGCTGTATTGAGATCCCTTATTGTTGTTAGTATGCTTTTGTGTTAGTATAGCGGTGAATAATAATGGTAGTGTTTAGATTGAATGCTGCCTGTCCACAAATTTTCTTTGAGAAGGTTGATCAATGAAGTTAGTGGTGCAAGCCTGGAGCTGTTGACGCGCTGCGCTTTAGGTGGTGCTGCCGCGCTCAGCAGGTGGGCTCTTTCTGCCACCGCCTTTTGAACAGTTTCGCGGACTGGATTTCGTTGGCTTGTTACCTCTTATTTCCGCTTATGCCCGGGGGTTTCTCGAGGCTCGGGGCATTCTGCCGTTCAAAGGCGGTCAGTGCTTCCGTTGTCTGGTGGTGCCTGAGGCATGAATTGGAGACATGAGTATGTACGGAGCACTCCGTAGAGATCCACGAAACTATGCCGCAAGCACGATGTCTCAATTTGGCGACACTGTCACTACAATACAAAGAGTTGCCAATCTGATACACTAGACTAGGGTACAGGTGACGAAATAGCATCCAGCCAATAAACCATGTCATACCCCCACGGAACCAGAACTACCGTATAACAAAACCGCAACCAAATTTGATAATCTCAGTATCTCATACGCTGTTTTCCCATCTTAGAACGCCCAATCATCGAACTCATCTGCAAATCGAACAGCCGCCCGAAGATAGAACTTCTCCGGATCCCCCCACGTATTGGCCGCTTCTCTCAAAGCCCGGATCGCCTTGACGTAGTGTGCGTCCGTCGAGTACTGCCCCTTGACGGCCATGTGTGCCGTCCATTTCCAATCTCGGCCTTTGAGCTCGTATCCCCTGACCCTCTCAAGATCGATCTCCGGTCGGAGCCCCGCGACATACACGCTCAGCGCCATGAGCCACCACTGCCGGACCAAAGCCATCTGGAACTTCCCTGGGATGAGAGGGAGCAGGATCCGCACCGCGTGGCTCGTCGTGAGAGTGTGGACGAGGAAGAAGTCGTACTTGGGGCGGGCGGCGGACACTGTGGCGGTCAGCAGCGCCGCAGCCACTTCCTGGCTCTCGCGGAACTGAGTGACGGGATCTTGGATCGTCCATGCGTTCCAGTGATTGAGGAGGGCCGCTTCGTGGTTGCGGAAGAGAACTTCGATGTTTTCCTCGCCCGAAGTAGTGAAGAGATTGTCGAATTGCTTGTCAGCTCGGACTTTGGCGAGGACCTCGAATAGAGAAGTGGTGTGGTAGGAGGGTTCGATCTTGGAGTAGGATGGGTCGTCAAGGTATTTATGGATACTACCGTAGCAGGTAGCGGCCATACCAAGTGCCTCCATAGCTACTTCGCGACTGGACATCTCGAAAGCATATGCGAGGTGAATAAGGGGGTGTCCAACTATGCCATATTAGAGAGGTAGAGATGAGAGGGTTTGAGGCTGCCACGCACGATCTGCAACAAGAGAGCTGAACATCGGTTCTTTGCCTGAAAAAAGGTACTGAAAAGCGACTTCTTTCCAGTCATAGCTATGCCGGACGAGTTCATCCTCGAAGAAGTCTACGAACGCACGTTGGTATCTGGGTCAGATGGTCAGCAAGATTGGCCATTGCACCAAGGACTTGACTGGCTACTTACTCTCGGCGCGAAAGATAGTCCCGCCAGTCATATGTACTGATTTCGCCGGGAGAGTTTTCCCAGGGATCGAGAGATTTGGACTCGTTTTCGTATATACGATTCAGGTCATCTGCATCTGCGCCTTGCAGGAAGGCTGAACTGAGGATCTGTGCCAATCAGTACAATACCGTACTATGTCTTGGCTATACAGTGACAAACATGAGGTGCATGGTTGTGAAATTTGCGTTCATTCCACAAGAAAGCGTAGTTGGCGTGGTTCAGTTTAAGTAGATGCTTCAGAGCACGGGCAGGCTTCTCTTGGGCCGTGTCGATCTCATGCACTTCAACCGGAGAGATATTGAAGACTTTGGAATCTCCCCACGGTCTCCATCGACCGATTGAGGGCAGGAAAGAGATCATATCCATGGTTTTTTTAGTAGGTATTACAATAACAACAATGAGTAGTGAAGAGGCCGATAAGTTGTAAAAGTCAAGGGAGCGGATCACTTTGTTGGCGTCCGGTGGGTCTTCAACGTTGAGATCAGGCGATATGCTATTGAGGATGGGTATGAGAGATCAACGCCACAGTGAAGCGCTAATCTCAAGCCAAGTTACAAGCATAACAATTTCAAGCTGCAGTACACAATCGGATCCCTAGTAAATGGTTTGAAATCAAGATCGATAGTTGGGAGAGTGGGGAAGAGATGCCTCAACCATGTGCCAATTGATGGAATGATGCAAATGATGACATCTTTTATGCAACTTAGCTACTCCAGTTATGCTGGCTTATGTCATCAAGCTAGTCCTGTTCTGGCTTCCCAACAAATACAGTAGATTCCTATGAAATCAACTCTAGAGATGTAAACTCGTGACAGATTTGTCCTTCGGCACCTGTGCTCGAAGACAAATTCTGCTTTAATCTAAGAAACACAAATCATTTATTTATCATGGGAATACCGTGTTCCACGGCATAGTCAGCAGGTTCACCACCGGCGGCAACCTGTCCCGAAATCACGTCAACGTCCATTCGGGGTCCGGAGAAATTCTTACGACCGTCAACAATCCATTGGAAGACCGACAAGATCATGACTACTCCAACAACAACAATGCAGTAGTCTACTCTAGTTAGCAACTCCGAATCGGTGATAGTTGATAGCGAACTTACTCATATTGCTGCCGGTCACAATGCGATCGGGCGGGAAAACGAAGAGAACAGTGGTCATCGTGATGTAGCACAAAGAGATCTAGGCATATCGTTAGTGCTGTGCATCTTATTCAATCCGGGCCTCATTGGACGTACTATGTTGGCAGTCCAGCCAAAGATACTGGGCAGAACGAAAGGTCTTTCAGGCAGCATCTTCCGGCCCCGAGCGCAATTCACAGCAATGGGAATGGCATATGCAATGTCGAGCAGAATCACAGACGAAGAAAGAATGGCATTGAACGCACTAATCATGTATTAGCGGTGGCCTCCTCGGCTGAGTTATACAGTATAATCAAGATCCGCTGTTCACTTACCTGGAAGAACCGAGGAAGATGCATCCGAATACAACGCAGAAAAAGCTAGTCAGGTACAAAGCGTTCAGAGGCAATTGTAGTCTCGGATGAACTTTGCTGAAGAAAGGCGAAGCTGGGAGACCGCCGTCTCTGTTGTGACCATTAGCTCATATTCAGAAGATGGTAACAAGCCGAATGGTGGTTACCTTGCGAATGCATAGACCATGCGGCTGCTTGTCGTCGTGATGGTAACAGCGGCGAAGAGGACACAGACCAAGGGGAAACTAGAATTTCCGTCAGCATGGATCAAGAGCGATCAGGCGGGGCAGAGCTCGCGTACATCAGAAGACAGATAGATCCAGCATTGCTCCTCGTCGCGTCATAGAAGATCTGAAGTAGGGGAGTAGCTGCCGAGCTGATGACGTTGTTGATGTCACCAGCAACGAAAAGCAGTACAATCAAGAAGATGGTACCGGTGAAAGTGCCAATGGCAACGCAGCCGATCATAATCTTAGGCCCTACTACAGAGGGGTTCGGGATCTCTGCTGATGTTTAGCGTCTGTGATAAGTAAAGTGTCATCCTCGCGGTAATACCTTCAATCATGTGCGCAACTCCATCCTGTCTGAAAGTTAGTATTGCTTATTGAGCAGCGTGCAAGGGCAACCATACAAATCCAGTAAGACCAAAGCCTCCTTGAAGTAGCTGTTACTCGGTTAGTGGCAAGATGTGACCTTGTCTTGATTGCAAAATACCCCAAGCAGCCAAGCAAGACCATCGGGCCCTGTGTTCTATTAGCATTCATAATCGTGCGAAACTGGTTGACACTCGACTCACAGCCTGTCTCGTTGATAAAGTCGCCAAAGACGAATCTGAATCCGAGTAAGTTGGTGTACAGTAGGATGATAATCAAATCCTTACTCTCCAGAGTTGTAATTGGGCGACGAGCATGATAGCACAGTGATGCAAATAACAGCGAAGCCGGTTAGTGACCAGATAACTGCAACAGATTAGCCTTGCCAAGCTTCTTTTCCATGATATTCATAGTCTGTGCACATACAGGCACCCTTGGTCAATCGTGGAAGGATAGAATTCAAGAAGGCATTGATCAGGAATGCAACAAGGCAGAATGCGATGTAGATGAGGAACTGATGCCATCTTTTCGACTCATATGTCTTGAAGGAGTTAATCGACTTGTGACATCTGAGCAGATGTAAGGGGAACCTTACCGGATGCATCAAGGAAATCACACCCAAGATCAGTTGACTGCCTAGAGATCCACCAGTAGCAGCCAGCGCCACCCAGCCAGATACGTTTGCCCATCCTGTAATCCACGAAAGTACGGGCATGTATTTTGCCGGAGCAACTTTGTTCACTCAGTGACGCTCATAAGATAGTGGGCATATTGTACTTACTGACTGCAAAGAATGAACAGTCAGCATCATAAACATCATAACTCATGAAGAACAGAAACAAACAAGTGAATTGAGCTTACCTGCTACCCAATGATATTGTCCACCCGCCCTAATACCTCAGTCAGTAGCCATCCGGGACATCAATCCATACGATCAATACTCACGTGGGATACGCTGACAAGAACTCTGCCAGAGAGGATGCCATGCAGAGGTTACAGATACCCGCTGTGACCAATCCTGCAAGGAAGGGCAATCAATCCGTGAGTAACTCTGACCAGTAAGGGACCAGCAAGCCAAAGCCACAACCTTATCCTGCCGTCGAGCGGCTTCATTCAGGCGAGACTGGGGGACTGAAAGTACAGTAGAGGTAGGAGGGATTGACTTACCCCATACAACGCTTACGCAGCCGCCCGACGGCAGACTGATCGATAAACTTGCAGATAGAGCGGTCCATGACTAGAGCGTCGATAGTTTTATCAGCATCCATGCAATCGTCACAAGGGATTTTCGACCGGCGATCTGTGTCACGGGTGGACGTAGTGCCAACCACATGCAGGAATGATGATAGGTTTTGGCGAAACGTACATTCAGGATAGCAAAGGCTAAGCCTAACATTGATCTAGTCAGGTTGAACAGATAGGCATTAGTTTAGTGGCCACGTGCAAGACGGTCGGTCATGAAAGGGCGATCGGGCCAACGTACAGCATTGAAAAGTTTCGATTTAATTCAGCCCTGTGGCCCAGGGCTGCGAGCTGCGCGTCATCATCTCCCCGGAGGTCTTTCATGGCTGTGGAATACTGATGGGCTCGACAACGAACAAAATGATGGGGGAAAGTTGAGGGGATGGGGTCTTTGACTAGAGGGAAAGTAAAGTTGTAGAGGGAAGAAGGAGAGAGGGAGAGGGAGATGGAGATGGGGGGAGAAAGGGAAAAGAACTGGAAAGGAACAGAGGAAGGGAGGGAGGGAACACTTTCTACTACTACTGTTCTACGGAGGAAGGTACGGAAGGACTAAGACCAGGAAGGGGAGGGGAATGGGTGTGTTGCCTCCACCGTAAGACACATTGATCACCCTCAGCCTCTTCCTCTCATGGTCTAAGTTATCTGACTATCTGAGCTCTTGAGAGGGCAGGATTCCGATGAAGATTACATGATGGAACATCACTGAGTGGAGTAATTGGAGTGAGAGAAGGAGGAGAGAGTAGGAAGGGAGGAATTGCGGGGGGAGAGAGTGGCGGATCGCACCATTTACCTAATAAATATGGGGTAAGAGACGGTGCTAACCAAAACTTATATCAAGATTATCATTGATGATGATACTCTAATCGCCCGCTCGATAAGCAGCTCAACTGATAACCAGAGTCGGTCATTATCTGATTGGCGAGAACCACCGAGCACAAGGCGCCGATACCCAATGAAAAAGAACCGAAGAGCGGAAGCTGGGGGATTGGAAGCTTAACTTGAAGGCCGGTGAAAAACAGGGCCGATTCCGATTCAAGTTACCAGTAGACCTTTCATTGGGTTAGAAGCCGGTTTGACACACTACTTTACTGAATAGGACGGAGACCACCCCCGATAAGCATAAACTTCGCCAAACTGCACTCCGTCCTCGGTAGAGTCCAGCGGACCTTCTCCGAGGTCCCGCTCATTTGGACATCAACATCCTCTATGCTCTCCTTCTTCCAGACTTAGAATGTTCTTTGGCTTCTCTGCATATCTATTTTCTGTCACCTCAAAGCCTATCAAATTACTCAGGTATGATATACATGATACACGTCACACATCAGGATGGTAGTAAGTTAGTCGTTGTCGTTGAGCTAAATTAGGTTGGGCAGGCTCATTGAACATCCATCCAGGTGCTGTGCAAGTACCTCGATGACCTCATGTGGCCACTGCAGAATCCCCTCCGCTGTCTCTTATCAGACAACAACCTTTCGCTGACAAAAATATACATACAAACAATGCTCATATGCAGTCATGGCAAATCATATATATGTACAAACACACACAGAGACACACAAACTAATCGGGACGTGCAACCGTCAAGCCTTGTCGCCTATTGACGCCGCGCTCCCCCCCGGCACACGGTCGGCGGCCGAGTCATCCTCTTAGCTATCAAAGCCCCGATCCACCGCTCGGGGCCAGATGGTCAGTTCGAACAATGTAGTCATCTTCATCGCCACTGTTAGCGATCCCGTTTTCTACATTGTCCTCATCCTCCCCAACATCATCGTATCCACGCGAGCCTCCTCGATCCGTTCGCAACCCAGAGATGGGACCGTCAAGGGAAGAGTCAGAGTCACCATTCGGGATGTTGACAGTCTTGCCCTTCGCTTTCCCTCCAGCTCCCGCGGGACTTTTACCCTTGCCCTTGCTACTGGTCGACTGGCCACTCGCATTTCGCACCATAGATGGGACCTGTTTGCCCTTTCCCTTGTTAACTGCAGGGGACTGAGCGTCTCCATTAGCGACAGGCCCGCCCATGCTGAATTCCAACTGCCCGCCCGCATTCAGCGCATCCAGCGCATCCTGAATTGTTTGCGGTGGCCCTGAGGCACCATTTACCGACTCCTGCTTCTGCTTATCGACGGATTCAAAGGTCTGTCGGATCCGCTCGAAATGCTCAAGCTCCTTGGCACTGGATGCTGTTAGTAAGGAGAGAAATCCTCATCGGAGCGTCCGTCGTAGCTTACCTAACACTGGGAACAAGCTCATCTTGGGCCGCCCGGAAATCGTCTTCCGTGACCACCACCGCCACGTCATCCGGCGTGGCAAGATGGTCAAAGAAGTACGCTGTACTGACAGGCTCACCTGGAAGTTGCTTGATCTTCTCATCCACTGCCGTGGCCTTGCGTGTAATAGCCTTGAGCATCGAGTCCGAACACAAAGCGTACAAGTCGGCGCCCGTGTAAGTTAGTGGGAGCCGATCAGCTACCCGGGCAAGAGAAAGATCCGGGGAAAGGGCGAATTTTCGTGTAAGCGCCTCCAGAATGGTTCTCTGCTTCTCGTGTGTATCGGAGACACCCAGATAGAGCATCTTATCAAAGCGACCTGGGCGTAAAAGCGCCGTATCGAGTAGATCGGGCCGATTGGTCGCGCCGATGACAAAGACACCACCACTGTTTTCTTCTCCGCCGTTCATTCCATCCAACTCGGCGAGAAGTTGACTCACAATGCGATCCATCACACCACCACTGTCACCTTGGTTACCTCTCTTGGGGGCCACCGAGTCCAGCTCGTCAAAGAAGACAACACATGGGCGAGCATCCCGGGCACGCTGAAAGACGCGTCGTACATTGGCTTCGGATTCACCGATGTACATGTTCAGCAGCTCAGGACCCTTGACGGAGAAGAAGTTCAGCGAGAATTCGGTTGCAATGGCTTTGGCCAGAAGCGTCTTTCCGGTACCAGGCGGCCCATAGAACAAAATACCGCTACGTTTCTTCATGCCCTTGGCGAACAATTCAGGCCGTTCGAGCGGCAGTTGGATGGTCTCAACGAGCGCCTCTTTGACATTGGACAGGCCACCAACGTCCTCCCAGCTAACATTTGGAATCTTGGGGGCGCCGATGGAATCGGCAAAGTTCTTCCTCGCAGCGTCAACGGCGGTATCGAAATCAAGCTTTGTGACGCCTCGTGCCGCGTCGCCGCCAGCAATCAGAATATCGCGAATCCCAATCTTCTGGTTCGATTGCTTGCTCGATGCCTCCGCCAGTCTTTCCAGGCGTGCAGTTCTTGCAGACGACGCACGTTCGACCACGTCAATCAAATCACCAGCGACCAGGGCAGCGGTCTTCAGAGCCACTGACCCCAGATCAACATCAGGTGAAAGTCGAATACCACGTTCTGAAACAGCATTGCGAAGAATACCTTCACGTTCCTTCTCCTCTGGTGCAGACATCTCGAATTCATGGGTGAACATACTTCGAAGGCCCTCGGGCATCTGTTCGACGTCCGTCGTAGTAGCAATAATCACCCGCGCATCGGCCACAATTTCAGCCATGGCCGACACTATGCGATCTGCAGTCAAGACTTCAATGTGTTTGATCAGGAGCGCAGTACAGTCGGCCCCGCAAAGGAAAGCACGTTCTGCTCTGGCTTTCAGGTATGCTTCGGTCTTGACATCGCCACCATTGGCACCACCCTCCGTAAGGATATCATAGGCATCAATTGGGAAGGTGTGCAGGCCGATGTCGGCACACGCGCGTGTTGCAACCGTGCCCTTGCCAATGTGTCGTTGTTGGGATCTCAGGAGGATGACGACTGGCTTCATACCGAGTTGGATCGCACGAGGACTTGTGGCAACTGAAATCAGCTCTCGAAGACGCTGCTGCAAAGGTGAGATGAATGATTGTGGAATGTCGGTCACCAGACCATGGCTCGTTTGCGCTTCAGTGGCAGCCCTGGGTACAGCTTTAACCCCAAGCCAATACTCCCAGCCATTATCTGTTGAGCCCGGTACCCTACTGACATCACTCCCAGCTTGTACCATTCGGGTAGTGGCGGAGTCGATAACGGCCACTCCTCCCCATTGGTTGTCGCCGGCTTCATCCTGATCATCCGGAATGCTGGGGACAACTTGGCCAACACGGAACCATGCGACTCCGACCTTCTTAGACCCGGTATAATTAGAATAAGACATCTGTCCTAGTCTCGTGGTTAGATCGTCTTCTTGAGCGCTACCGTCGCCGGTAGCTGCGCCTTGAAAAACGGCTCTACCGAGGCCTTCATCAATGCTAATACCCACAAGGTCCCCACCCTTCAAAAGCCGTCGACGAGATTCAAAGTATTGTTTGAGGCCAGCGAACAGGGCAGGTTGAAGAACACGGTCCATTGACAGAGGAGTCGAGACCTTGAGCAGCGTAACCTCCTTGGCCAGAGGCGGATTTCGAGCAACACTGGACTTGACCTGGTGGAGTAGGTTAGGCTTCGCGCCATTCGATGTAGCGAAAGTCATCGGAAAGATGCGTAGGTATTTGGGGTTGTCAAGATTGTTCAGAAGCAGTGGTGAGACGAAGACGGAGGTCATGCGCACAGTGGGAAGTTGAGAGACACTTGAGCGCCTGTTTCCCGTTTGGTTGATCGAGTATCGAGGTTTCGTAGACTGTAGGCCCGGCAATCCATAGATCTTGACCGCCCGCCAGTCGCCAGTGTCCTCTTCGCGGTCATTAAAGCTACCAAGCTTGATTGAGGCGAAGGGGTTGTGCTGGGGCTCCTCAGTTGCCTCAATCCTCACCCAGTCACCTGAGAAACAGCCTATCTTGGCGAGCGTTCCGATGTCTACGAAGATGAAAGACTCCGGGTCGTCATCTTCCCGTGGTCGGGGATGCAAAAGGTCGCCAGGCACCTGACGCAGGAGGCCTTCCGTCTTGAACACCTTGCCACCGCTAACTCGACCGGGTCGCATGGTCGCAGAAGTGAAGTTTGATGCGACCGATCCAGGAGTATGAGTGCCGTCCAGCCGACGCCCTCCAGCACGGGGCGTAGCAGCAGTCATAGCAGACATCACACCCGACGACGGCTGAGGGAGCTCCGGAGCGGTTAGCGAAATCATATCCTCCAGAGAATCGTCCGATGTGTCACTCATGTTACCGCCCGAGGCATCAGTTTCCGACTCGTCGGCAGTAGTACTACCTTCCACCTCGGTACTGCTCTCGATAGGCTTATCCTCAGCCGCAGAATAGAACTGTTCGTTGGAGGTATCATCGGCTTCATCTTCCGCTACTTGTTTGAGAAGGCCAGTGCCTGATCGTAGGCTTCTTTGCGCCCGGTGACCGTGAGGCCGCGCATGAACCAGGACCACTTTAGTCGCGGGCATCAGTAGGCCCTGGTAGACCGGTTCGCAAAGCGCAATACGAGCAGGGGGTGATGGAGCATATGTAATGGGGTGTGGTGGTAAGGGAAGCGGCAGGACGTCACCAGTGTGCAGAACCTTCACGACTCCCAAGGCCTCGCGCACGGCAGCTGTAAGCCTTTCTTCATCCTCTGCTGCTGCCTTCTTCGTGTATTTCTTGACTTCAGCGGCTTTCCCGCCCTTGGCCCACCCACCATTGGATGAGGTATTGTTGGAACTGAAGCCTCCTCCAAACTTGGTTTGAACATCATCATGATTCCGGAGAAGGTTCCGCTCTACTGTCACATAGACTGTATCCAGAGGCAAGGGCACGGCATCCAAGACCCGTATCTCGATCGCACGCTGTGACTGAAGGGAATGGCGGGTGGGATCCAATTTGCCTAGTTTCTCCAAGAATGGTTGTAATGACAGGGCGGAGTCGGGGAAAAGGACGGTGGAGTGCGGAATTGGCGATTGATAAGAGCGATCTTTAGACTGCGGTCGCACGGGAATGATGGTCCAAGAGAGATCCTCGACCGAGGTGCAACCTGGGAAGTGCGGTGAGATCGCAAGATAATAGATCCCCATGTCATCTTGATTGTCCTCTGGAGTACGCGTCACTGATTAAAACACTGCGGATTGCGAATATAGATCCTATTGAGCGGGGGACGGCTCGGTTTGACTTACTGCTGAAAAGGTCGCCGACCAGGTCATCGGACACAACACCAATGTTCCCACGCAGCTGATGATCCAAAGAAAGACGAGCAGAGATAGGGGCCCTATTGCGCATGCGTCGACGCATCACATTTCGCCGTCGTCTCCTGGGTTGCTCTGAGCTGGGGTCGTGGTGATCGTAATCCATGATAATGGCGCAGGTGGGTTCAATTGGAGCGGGGGAGCGACCGGGAGAGGGGAGGGAGGGGAAACAATCGAAGGTCGTGAATTGAAGGATGAGAAGAATCCAGTTACCTCAGCATACTTCAAAGGAGCCAGGATCGAGACAAACAATCACCTGGTGAGACAACTCCGAGCTTAGATAGTGGTGCAGCAAGATAATGGCTGGCGGAAAGTTGGAGAAAGTCCGGGGAGGAAGACAACGAGGCCGTCCGAAGCTCGGCACCGCCCGCTCGTTCTGCCCTTTCCCGATGCCGAGGTTCACTGCACGAGGAGGTTTCGTTTCCTCACTTTTGGGGAATGAACCCTTGCCATATGCCTACGGTGTACTCCGTAGAGTCCTGTGTACAAAATGAGCTTCCGACTTAGCATATTTCATAAATGTGGACAAAATCCTAAGCAATGACTGAGATTCACTGTATGCAAACTAAATTCGGGCATCTAAAATATATATATATAATGCTCCCAAAACCGTCTGGCGAGCGGACCATTAATTGTCTGTAGTACTTGTGAGTCGATGCGACGCGACATGGCAGGTCGTGTGGAGAATGTTGCCGCAATGGATCGCGAAGGTGCCCTGCTTTGCCATACTGATTGAAGCATATAGTTATAGACCAACGAGCTTGACGACTGATTCCTCTCTGACATGGTCACCTTATCTTGGAGCTATAGCCATCATACTAAGTAGGTACCTCTCCTCGGGCTCATTCGAACTAGCACCCTTCTACACTGTAAGCTAGCACACCACCATGATTTGCAGAGCTACAGACCAACCAAGCCAGTGCGGCACTCTGGTCAAATATACCAAAGGCAACAACCTAAGTAGATATATAATCGGATTACGGAGTTAAGAATAGTTCGTTCACGCGAGACTGAAGGGTCTGATAAGATCTTTTGTTGATTGCAAGACGAGCGCCAATTGAACCAATGCGTTCGCAGTGAAATGTTGTAGCCTTGACAGCTTGCGCGGCGGACTGACCTCATGCAGGCCGTCGTCACTACAATGAGGCTCATACACTAAAATGACTCCAGGGCCGCAGTCTTGTTTTGCGTAGGTGGCTTCCTGTCATTTGGGGCTCGAGGTACATCTGGTGAGGTGGCATTTGCGGGAACCGCGGTGCTCAGAGGGCTTGATCGGTAGAATATTACACAGTAGGTGAGTCGAATTGACTTCAGGTACGGAATACTCGGTAGTGAAACTATGGACAACGTCCGATTTGGTGGCCTGGATTGCAATATGGTAGATCAAGGCGCTCACGTCTTTCATTGAAACGATTCATTCGGTCCTCAAGTTCCAACGTGGCCGGGTTGACAGCCCTTAAAATGCCGGACCTGCAATGATGTGACACCTCCGACCAGGTGATAAGGCTGACGTGGAGAAACTCGTTGCTTGTTTGGTTCAATCGGCCTCAATAACTCAAACCGGGTTGGAAATTTTCTAAGTTCCAAACCCACCACACTCACCTCTTTCAGTTTTCACTGGTTGGATGGAAAAGATATCGTCCGTACCAGAAATAAAAGATCGAAAATGCAGATGATTTCCTCGCCCTAGGGCGCCGCGCAACGGTCGCTCGATGCATCCCCAGCAGTCCCAGGGGTCTTTGTCTGACTGGGCCGCACGCTATCAGAGAGCGCCCGAGGGCTAAATTTAATCGGGAAAAAGGAATAAGCAGGATGCCGCTGACAGTGGTTGAGCATAATTATTCCGTCATATGATGAGCACCTGATCATCTGAAGGGGTTTTAAAACATTAATGTTGGTTGGACTGCACAGTGAGTGGCACTGGCAAATCTGTGTTGTTCTTATGAGCTTTGAATAAATAACCACTGAATTTTGTTCCTTTTTCATGAGTAACTTATGCAACGGATGGCAGGTAGTGGAAAAGAGCCCCCTTGGCAGAAAGAACTGCTGCCCCGTCCACTTCTCACGCTTGCACTAACGCTGCTGGAGACTTGGCGAGAGAAGCAGAAACGGTAAGGAGAAGAGCCAAAGAGGAAAAAGCCACAGGCAAGATCGCTGGATGGGGTCACTCGAGGGTCGAGGGTCCGCAGACTATTTTCGGAAAGGCCGGCTTCCGCGGGAGCCCGCCCATGAGAGAGCATGAGAGAATATTCTGGGCCCCCTGAATGGCCAACTGGGAAAAAGTACCCCCGGTGGAAATAAACCTAACGTGGACGGGACTAAACCGCCCCGAAACCCCGATCTCAACTGGAATACGTAGAATACAGGTATTGGGTTAGTTATAATTCAGAGTCACATGTCATCGCACATAGAAAAAGAGGGCGCCTAAGCAGTATGAGCCATTACCGAGTATCTCCGGCCGAAACGAGTGCCGTGGCTGTGGAGGAGATCCAAGCCCCGCTCACAGCCAATCACTTACAGCTGATGGGGAGACTCCAGGCACCTTTCCTCTTTGAGTATGGTCTGGCTCGTCTATCAGGCAGACATCCAAGAAGACGCGGACTGAGACTCAGCCCGGTGGAAACAGCCTCATTCTTACTCTCCGTCTACTCCTTGTACGTACCCCGTTCCTCGACTTGAGTCGTCTACTTCGTTGACTCTTCCTTTCCACTTCATCTCCGCTATTATTCCTCCTTCGTCCCCCCTCCAACTGTCAGCCTATTGCTCTCCTAAACTAGAACCGTTACCTGAATATCCACATTTACCTGTCACCAACCTCTACCTCTCTTGTTGTTTTGCTTGTCTTGTTGGTCCCGTTTTTGTGAAAAGGGTGGTGCTTGCTTGATCGCATTATCAGCCTGGGGCATTCCATCATCCACCCCCCTCCCTCCCTTTTATGAGACCTCCGTAAACCTGACATTTCTCGACCACCGCTGGTGCGTGACGGTTTATTTATTTTTTTTTATAACCTGGTGGAATGGCTTCAGCAACTAACATCTCTCCAGTAATACCTTATTGATCTCCGCTTTGGCTCCATACGTCACTGCGGTCGCATTGCAGCTCCGACTCGCAATTCTATCCAGACATAAACAGTGAGTCTGGATAGTGATGGGGCATGAGTGACGTGGTTTAACTCCTTAGAAGTTTTCTACCTCACAACAACCCTTATAATTTTCTTCAACCCTTCACTCGTCAACAATAATGTCGACCTCCGACACCATGACGTCTCGACATCCCCGTCGTGGGCGGGTTATCAACGCACCTCCACCGTCTTTGCTCGCTTCTTCAGAGACGCCGTCAGCTCCTCGATCCCGTCTTCGTATGAAGAAGGGAGACACCTTCCACTACACTACCTCTTCGCCCTCGGACCGCCTGCTCCTCAATCTCCCACTATTGCCTCGCTCTCCGACTTCTCCCGGAGCCCTCGAAGCTATCGCAGCCGGTCAGGAACGCATGTCTAAGATCTTAGGTCGCATCGAAAACGGTTCTTTCCGTACTCGTGGCCGGTTCGACGAGGATGATAAATCTTCTGATTGCGAGGATAGCCTGGAGGCCCATTTTCAGCGGTTGAAGTTGAGCAAGGAGGATCTTGACAAACGATTTGCGAAGAAGAACCGACGGACACATTGCCACGCTTCCGATAGTGGGCTAGGAACTTCGATCAGCAGCTGTCAGTCCACGTCTTCTAAGCAAGGTTTGTTGCTATCGTCCATGGTATCTGGCGTTGGGACATATCTGACCAGTCATACAGAGAAAGCTGGCAACAAATTCCAGGCTCTGTCTGCCGTCCTAAGCTCCATGCATCCTGCCGAAAATGAGGATACACCTAAGCAGAAGCTCAGTCCCGCGTCATGCTTGGAAATTGAAAATCGCATCTTGACACCTCTTCTGGGAATGGAGCCATGCAAGCCCTTCCGTCACGTCGTGGAGGGTGCTCGTCAACAGATGGAAAGCGATAAGTTTAGGACTCTGCGTGATCTTGAGAAGGCGCTGCTCTACGTAGCTGCAGTAAGTCTCCTGTACCTTGGTCCCAGGATCGACGCTTATGCTTATGTCTCTGTACAGGATGTCGAGGCCGAACTCAGCTTCTACTATCAATTCTGCAACTCAACCATTTTGTGCCTGCACGAGACCTATACCACTGTCGACCCTCGTGACTTGTGCATGCCGACCGATCGCCCCTACAGCAACTCTTACTTCCTCGATCTGACCGCTCAAGTCCACCGTTTCAAGGCCATGAGGGATGAGGCTCGTAAGAACAAGGAGGAGATGTGAGTGTGCCTTCCAAATTGAACAAAGTAGCGTTTGACTAACCCATTATAGGCCGAGGCTTGTTGTGGAGGGTGGTATGGTCGACACAGGGCGTCCACTTGAGCTTGTTGTCGAAAAAGACGGCGAGATGATTTCACTGGAGAGTGGAAAACCCTTCGACGCGCATGCCGTTCCTGTGGTAAAGCGAACTCTGAGTCTGGGAGCCACTGATGAGGGCGCCAGGCGGTCCATGGCTCGGCGCAAGAAGAACGCCCCTCCCATGAACATCAACACAAAATGCTCCCACTGCGATAAAATCTTCCAAAGACCTTGTGATTTGACGTGAGTGTCGATACTATTTGCATGCAGATTGTGATTACTGACTTGATATCTAGCAAACATGAGAAGACTCATTCACGACCTTTCAAATGCCCGTTCGAAGGATGCAAGTATTACGAGCTTGGCTGGCCCACCGAGAAGGAAAACGAGCGCCATATCAATGATCGCCACTCGGCCACTCCCCGCATGTATGCTTGCACTTTCAATGGTTGCTCGTACAAGTCCAAGCGCGAGAGTAACTGCAAGCAGCACATGGAGAAAGCCCATGGATGGAATTATGTGCGCGCGAAGAACAACGGACGCAACGCCAAGCGCCGTCCCTCACCTGTACAAGCCAGCCCTGGTCAGGAGAATCTCGCCCAGCCGAGCCCGCAGCAACTGAGTCCCGGCCAAGCTAGCTCCGTCAATCTGGCACCGTCTCAGATGACTCCTCTGCAGATGAGCCCTGACCACATGAGCTCACTTCCAATGATCCCGGACCACCTGGATTCCCTGCAAATGACCCCGGAGCACTACAGCCCGGAGAACTACACCCCTGAGCACTACACTCCGGAGCAGTATAGCCCATCTAACCAGATGCACTCTGTGCAACTGAGCCCTGCTACAATCAGCTCCGGGCAACTCAGTCCGGCGCAAGCGAGCCACACTCAAGCTAGCACTCCCGCTTCGGGCCCGATCCAGTCGCCGACCGGGTTTTTGAATAATTATGCGCAAAGCCAGATGTTCCAGCTTCAAGACCCCTTCACTCAATTAAAGAACGAGGACTGTCTCTTGTACATGGACAATGACTTTGCCAATGACTTTGCCACGTTCAACAACGGAACGTCTGGCTTTTTTGAAGATGCTTCGTTCGGCTACACCGACCCCATGTACCAGCCGGGACCAGTCGACATGAGTGCAATTGAAGCCTTGTGCGACGACCCTTACATGAACAATGTGTTCATGGACACTTTCGGCACTGGGACAGGCGCCGATGAGAGCATGTTCCCGACCTTCAATCAAGGCGGCATGCCTCAATTTTAGATCTCCGTCCTGGGGTTTCTGGTTTGACGTCTTAAAAAAGAATGAGCATTTCTGTCTTCTCTCTTATCTAACGACCCGCTTGCTTACGCAAGTCCAGGGACATTTCCATCCAGCCTTTCTAGCCTGTTATCTTCGTGTTCTTTCTTTCCAGAGTGGTTGTACCATACATTCGAGATTTGTCAGGTCTCCGTTTATTCCTTTCTCTCATACTAGTTACGGAAATAGTTGAGATTTGAAATTGCACACTTGGATTCATATCCCTTGATGACTTGGTATGAGCTATGGCGATACTGCGAATACGCAAGATAAGTTAACCTCTAAAGACACTGTAGTATAAGCGTAATCTATGCCAATTCATCACATAGGCCTCTCCAGAGGTCCATCAGTGTGACCTTATCTCGAACCCGATGTCTTTCGAATTAGAGCCATATTTAGTAGGCCCCTCAGTTACGATAATCGTTCTCAAAGAAGATTAGCAACAATACTAGTAGTATCATCGCTAGTCAAGGCTCAGAGCCTGAGCCCCCGACTTTCCATCTCCAACCACCATCAACCATGCCGATCCCCGAGGAAATAGTCCCAGCAGCCAAAGCACCGCCCAAATGGAAGGTCTATACAAGGAAACTGGATAGTCTAGGCCGTCTCTTTCAATCTCGCGGGCTTCCACTTCGCCGCCCGCCTCCAGCAACCGTGACTGACCCCGCACCTTTCCCATTCCTCCGCCTTCCGCGGGAGCTCCGCGACCAGATCTACCGCGAGCTGCTGACTGTCGACAGCAACAACAACAACAACAACAACAACAACAACGAAAAGGACGGCGACAACGGAGCCCTATGGATCCGCTACAGCCGCCGCCGGCACCGCTGGTGGGATGCGACGCCCTACTGCCCGGCGCGCGGCGGGCCGCGCCGCCCTCGGCCGCGCCTGGCCCTCGGCCTGCTGCGGGTTTGCCAGCGCGTGCGCCAGGAAACCCTGCCGATCGTGTTCGCCTGCAACAAAATCTGGCTGGACGCCTCGCCCGCCCAATGCCTCGCATTCCTCGCCTCTCTACCCCCCGCCGTCTCCGGGGGCATCCGCCACCTCCAGCTGTGGCTGGACGTGTACCTGGACTGCGGGATGGCGACGGGGACGCTGCCGCACCAGACGCCCGACGAGCGCGCGCACACCGCCGCGCGCGTGCACCGCGATCTCCTCATCCCCTGGCTGACCCTGTTTCCCTGGATGCAGCAACACATGCCCCTCCTAAACGCGCTGCAGATCCGGCTCGGCGCGAACCGCGCCTGGCATGCACAGAACCTCCAGTCTACACTTCCTGACTGGCTACATTTCTATCAGACCGGGTGGATGGAGCAGGTACGGGCGCTGCGGCAGGTCTGCACGCTGCGCGTGGAGGCGCGGCTGCAGTGGTGCGATCAGCTGGAGGACGGGGAGCGCGCGGCGCTCCAGGAGTTGCGGCGCGAGCTGCGGCGGACGTCTGGGTTTGAGGAGGTGGCGGTGCGATGGGAGCATGGCTTCTTTCTGTGCAGTGCTGGCGAGCAGTTCCCCACGACTAGTCTTGGGATCGTGTTGCAGCGGCAACGGGGAGAGCTGCAGGATGATGATGATGATGATGATGATGATGGGGCGCAGGGGGATTTGGTGGTGGGTGCGGCGTTGCCTGACTATCGGCCGGTTTATACCCTGGAGGATATGGTGTGTCCGATGGTTTGCGGATTTGGGGAGCCGCGGCCGCCGCGGTCGCCGGATAATTGTCGTTGAGGTTGATTGTCTGTCATGCCTGGTGGTTTATAGGTTTAGGGGGAATGGGTGCGCCCCTCGTAGAGCATCCTCTGCTACAATCAAAGGACCTAAAGGAACTCCGTCGGGGGTCCTGAAACTTCTCCCAAGTATACTGCCATACCCTTGAATTTTGCCTTGAGATTGTAACTTATATGCTCGACATCATGTAGGTGTAAAGCCTAATGACACTGTTTTAGACCGATGACAACTGAGTCATTGATCACAGTATCCACATGAAGAGAACTCGTCAGAAAGGAGTGACGTCCCTTCCAGCCTAAGTCTGCCTAGTAGTATACATGTCAAGCCTCGGAGTCTGTCTCACATCCAATTCTTGACTCTACTGTACTTGCGGCCCCGGCTCTCTTAGACAGAAGACCATCAGGGGCGGATGTATACAAATCATGGCGCAGAAGGGAACATGTTGTCCTCTCTTCTGTCTTATTCATATTATGATACCGTTGAGCCGGCACCGCATAAGAATAATTGGCCTGCGTCCGATCTTACTTCTCGCCGCGGGGCGGCGGGCCCGCGACCTCCGGGGGGGTTTACCGCTGCACCACGGCCTTGCGGGCCTTCCCGCAGCCGCCGGGCCCGGTCTACTAGGTACCTCCTATACAATGTAGTGCCATGCCCCTGACACCATTGATCATCCAGTCTTGCAGTAGCTTGGCAATGTGTACATTACATGCTATCAATTTCTCCTGTTTCTTTCTTTCTCGACACCCCACCACTATTACTAGCCCTGACGCCGACGACGCCGACCCCGAAGGGCTGGAGTTCCAGGTGCAGGGTCTCGGACAGTTGGACGAGAGTAAGCCCTAAGCAGGCTACGGTTGTACTGTACTAAGTACCGTACATAGTATTTGATCTATAAGACACTCGGAAGGGGTCCAAACCACATATGGACAAGCCGAGATGGGGCCAGAGGCCTGATCTGGGCCTATTATTGCTTTTGCACTACGAATGACACCTTCTTGTCCCTTAAGATATTCGCTTATCTTGCGTCTGGTGGATGTCAAAAGTAATAGGAACCAAGGACATCAAGATCATCTGGGATGTCGGAATCAACTGAACGTAATCACCACTCAGCTTCGAAAGCCAAGAGAGGTTTTAGGTCAGATACATTCACTACATCATACATTCAATAAGCTTGCACCTGGCAGATGAATTCCCTTTGCAACCCCATTCACCGATATTGTAGCCATCCGCCACAGTGCCCTGATCAGAGATCCTTGCCATAACTGGCGTTTCACCTTCCAAGATATTCCGCGATCTGAAAGATCTAAGCAAGAAAGTTATAACAGTCTAAGCTTGTTTCCAACAGCAGAAAGACCTCAGCCAGTACCTCTTCCTTAAGCAAGTCAACGCTTTACGCCTTTAATAACTTACAACAGAACCCGGCTTAGGAGCAGCCGTAAGGCTTATTCAGGTTACCGACATCGAAACTCTTATTAGAATCGTTATATACAAGCAGAAGATGGGCCCACCGCAAGATCGGATAGATTACCGCTTGCGAACTCTACAGCATGAACCACACTAGGAGGCTTCTATCTGCACCGTGCGGGTTCACCAGATATGTGGGCCCAACGGCGTCCGAAAAAGAAGCGGATAGTTCGTGGAGAAACCTGGTGGTCCGCAGATGATATTGCTTGGGGTTTCACGATCCGCGAAGGAAATTCGGATTGAGAGATACTGTCCCAAGTCCTGCGCACCACTAGTGCACCAGGTCACAGTCCAGATTAGAGATATCCTCAATACTAATCAAATACAAGATACCCCCGGCTCGGTGGTTGAGACTGTGCCGCTCATCCTGGAGCTCTCGCGCATCCTAGGAAGACCCCCGGTCGCCCCCGAACATAACATTGTGATTAGGGCTCCAGAACTGATTGAACTAGCCCAGATGGTCTTTCAGTTATGATAGGACAACTTAAGTCTTTCGGAGCTTTGTTATTCCTTTCTGAACTCGCGAAATGGTGTTTTGCTGGTTGCTGTCCGTGCGCCCCATCGCGCCAGAGCGAGACTTCGTGCTCTTCTACGGTGTAGCAAGGGTCGGTCAGTTCGATTCAATTCGATTCCAGTTCTATGAAACATAGGGTACCCTCAGGAGAGGACTCAGCCCACTTAATACGGCAAGCTATGAAGGGGATGGGTTCAAGCCCAGAACTCAACCGGTTCGCCATATACATACACCTTAGGAAAATTATCAGTGATCACTCGGTCACACTGATGTGGTTAAGTTGCCCGAGCACGCCTGTACTGATCATGAATTCGGCAACGTTGCGAATTGCCTGCGGGTGGCAAGGGTCGGTCGTGGATATATCGGGAGATGGAAACTTGGGAGGAGAAACAGGTCGAAGAATACTCTTGTGATACGATCCAGTAGTCTTTCTCCTCTTTTTGATGATGATACGAGGAGGAGGAGGAGGAGGAGGAGGAGGAGGAGGAGGATGGTGTTGATTGCTTTGATCTAGCTCTAGAGCACAGACTGGTTAGGAACTTCACTCCATCACAGCATATCGTGTCTTCATCCGGACTCAAGATCGGCCGCTATGCGGCCGGAGCGCAAGATAAGCTAATATCTTGAAAGACAAGACGGTATTCATTCTCAGTGCAAAGGCAAGGTCTAGATAAATTAATGTACTATCCTCAAATAATTGGAGCCCCCCGCAAATGTTCCGAAAGCCGAGTATACCAACGAACTATCATCTGTCTCCCTGCATCCTAGAAGCAAAGTAAGGAGTCCACTACCCTCATTTGGCCGTGGTATCACAACTATTCCAGGAATTTCGACTTAGTGAATCCAGGAACATGTATAACCAGACTTGTGAAGGATTCTTTAAGTACCCTACTGCTTGGCCGACGGCCCATCCTGGGGCATTCTCCCGGAAGACGAACATCCCATATTATGCCTGCCGACACTTCAAGGATCAGCCATCTCCAGCTCGTCCTCGATCCACACTATGTCCCCCCTCAAGCACGAAGCCACCCGTATACCGGGATCGGGACCGAAGACAATCCCTTCCGGGTGAACTGGTTACCCGATGATGAATGCAACCCGATGACCTTTTCTGCCCGGCGCAAATGGGCCTTGAACTTGCTCACAGCCATCGGAGCCTTCATCGTCGCCTTCGCATCATCAGCCTACTCGGGGGGACTGAGCCAGATCGGCACCGAGCTGCACGCCAACGAGGAAACGACCCTGCTCGGGATCTCGACGTTTCTGATCGGCTTCGCATTCGGTCCCCTCGCGTGGGCGCCCCTCAGCGAGGTGTACGGCCGACGCTATATCCTGATAGCCAGCGGGGCTGGTCTGACGGCATTTCTGGCCGGAAGTGGCGCGGCGCGCAACATGGCGATGGTGCTCATTCTGCGGCTCCTGGCGGGCAGTCTGGGATCGGCGCCCATTGCCATCGCCGGGGGCGTGATTGCGGATTTGTTCCCGGCGCAAACGCGAGGCTTCGCGTTCAGCATGTTCGTGACGGCGCCCTTCCTCGGCCCGGTCCTGGGACCGGTGTTTGGCGGCTTCGTGGCGGAATACCTGGGGTGGCGCTGGATCCAGTGGATTCTCACGGCCATCTCGGGGGCTCATCTGGTGTTGATAGCTCTGCTCCTTCCAGAGACATATGCTCCCCTGATACTGAAGCGGCGAGCCGAGCGCCTGACCCAATTGACGGGTTGTCTTCATGTTAGTTCCGCCGGGATGCGCCGCCAGAGTAACCTGCGAATCATCCTGACGCGGCCGTGGATCCTGCTCCTGCGGGAACCGATCATCCTGCTCTTCTCCATCTACATGGCGCTGACCTACGGCACCCTCTACATGCTCTTCGCCGCGTATCCCATCGTGTTCCAGCAGGCCCGAGGGTGGAGCGAGGGCCTCGGGGGCCTCAGCTTCCTCGGCATCATGGTGGGGATTCTGGCGTCCGTCCCGCATCTCTACTGGGCCCACCTCCGCTACCGCCGCATCCTCAAGTTGTCGACGCGACCCGTCCTCCCCGAGCAGCGTCTGCCGGATTGCTTTGCGGCCAGTCTCTGCCTCCCGATTGCGCTGTTCTGGTTTGCGTGGACGGACGCCCCCTCCACCACCCACTGGATTGTGCCCATCCTGGCGGGGATCCCGTTCGGCTACGGCTGCGTCATGCTGTTCCTGCCCTGCTTCAACTACCTGGTGGACTCGTACACCATCTACGCCGCCTCGGTGCTGGCGGTGAGTGCCGCCCTCCGGTCTCTCTGCGGCGCGACCTTCCCCCTCTTCACCACGCGGATGTATGCCCGGCTGGGCCTCCACTGGGCGGCCTCGGTCCCGGCGTTCATGGCGTTGGTCTGCGTGCCGATTCCGTGGTTGTTTTATCGTTATGGGGCCCGGATCCGCAAGCGATGTCCTTATGCGAAAGAGGCGGACGCTGTCATGGAGCAGTTCCGGCAGGCATCTGCAACTACTGTACCCGGAGGTTGAGCTGGACTTATGGGCACTTTGCGACTCATTGAAGAATCTGCAGTCTCTCTGTAGCCAATGGAAACTAGTGAAACGAGAAATCATTATTTCAGTCGATCATACTAGGCACTCACAAATCTGGACTATTGTTCACTGACTAGAACGGGAACAGAGTATGATCTGCGAGTGAGCGGTGGAGTTGGTTATTGTTGTGCCTTCCCCACCCTCAGCACCGTCCGGGTGGGTGGGGGGAATGGTAGAGGTTGAGGCTGCCGCGTGGAGTGGCGCGGCGTTTCTGACGCTGTCGTTGGCGTTGTGGGGGGGGAGGGGGTGGGGGTTGGGGTTGGGGGGCAGGGTTACGAGATCGCTTGAGAATAATGATGCAGTCCCAAGGGTTGAGCACAAGCCCTATGTTCTGGTGTATGGGGCTAGTACGGCGACGGGGACGATCGCGGTGCAGTTGCTTCGGCTGTGAGTTTCCCTCGCTCTCGGAATTCTGGTTGAAAGCTTGACTACTAAAGAAAAATAGATCAGGCTACACTCCCCTCGCCATCTGCTCCCCGCATCACTTCGATCTCGTCCGCAGCCGCGGCGCCGCGGCCGTCTTCGATTATCATTGTCCTGCAACCTGTGTTGAGGCGGTTAGGCAGTACTTGTTCGGGAGGGGGGCCAATGGTGTGCTTCGCTACGCGCTGGATATCATCGCGGATATTACATCGCAGCAGATCTGCGCTGATGTCCTTGGGGCTGCAACAGCAGCTGCGGAAGTAGGAGATGAAGAAGAAGAAGAAGAAGGAGAAGGAGAAGAAGAAGAAGAAGAAGAAGAAGAAGAGAGAGAGAGAGAGAGAGAGAG